TGGAAGAGATGAACCCCTGGGTGACAAAGGACACGCAGAGATGCTCCCAAGGGCAGCACCTACAGCAGGCAGGGCCCTTTCTGCTCTTCCTGGCTTGCAAAGCAGAGAGAAATTAAAAATAATAGATTTTTAAAAACATTAAAAAGGCACTTATCACCTTCTCAAATCCAGGCTGAAAGTAACACCAATCAACCAAAGAACTGTACAAGCCATAAGCTCAGGGGCTTCATTTGAACCTTGGCACTGGTGGGCTCAAAGGAGAAGAGAGGTTTTCCAGGGATTTACAGAAATACTTCCAAGCCGCTCATGTCAATGTTCTCCCACACCCTGTGATATAATTGAAGGCAGGGTGAGGAAACAAAGTAACAAAAATCAATTCAAAGGTCCAATATTAAGAAAAGTTAAGAAATCCTGCAATAGGGAAGGGATTAAACAAACCCTTATGATAGCGCAGGGAGCAAGAGGAAGATTTCATCTAACTTTTTTCATAAAAGTTTGCATTTTTAAAATTAAATCCACACATAAGTGGGTTTGTGTTTGAAACAAATATCTGAAAGGAAAATGATACATGAGCTCAGACATGCCCTGACCCCACTCCAGACCCTGTACATGACCCAGAGCCTCTGGGACATTTATTCCACTGCTGCCTTCAGAGGCTTTGCAAATGTGAAGCTTTTCCAAAGGCTGCAGTCACTGTTGGACCTGGTTCTCCGTGCCTCAGATTTAAAACATGAACATAATAACAGTCTAACAGAGAAATTGGGACATGAAAATAATAATAAAAAAAAAAAAAAAAAAAAAAAAGAAACCCGAACAAGCAGTGACATTTAACTATTAAGAAAAACCTTTGGTGAGACACCAAAAAAGGGGAGGGGAGGGAAATAAGTGCTTTCAAGAAAAATGCTTTACGGCCAATAGCTTTCCAAGAGATGCTTATGGGTCATTTTCTTCAAATTCAATATTGAGCTTGCTAAGTGGACTAAAATGCAAAAAAAAAAAAAAAAAAAAAACCACTGATATGTTCACAAGTAAGCCAGTTGAGCAAATGACTTGCAAAATAATTCTCCTGCTAATTCCAGGGTAACCCATCTATGTGTTTCTCTACCATCCTCTTGGAACAGAAGTGAACATAGCTACATTTCAGCTGGTGTCAGTACCAACTCACCAACACTGGAAAGCATAAAGCTTTCTTTTCCATACCGCTTTTCTGCCTTTAAAGTACCAAAACTCCCAGTTTCCAGTGGAAACTCAACAACTTGAAGCTTCACCCCAAGCGACCCTTCTGCAGATTTAACTGGAAAGCACCACTGGAGCTGTACATCACCTGTACAACTTCATGACTGCAAAGCTGTCCCCCCTTGCTGGTTCCCAGCTCCTGCTCCTAAAGTGCAAGATTTCCTCCAGAATCCAGAGAAGGCAAAGCAAATCTCTTCACTGTGCTGACCTCCCTGGCCAACTTGCTTTTAATTTTATTCCACCAGTGTGGAATTTGGCTTTCTGTTTAAACAAACAAGCAAGCAAACTAAGAACTCTCCAACTTTTGACTACTCAACATCCCTAAACCAAACAACACTGGCTGATAACTGGTCTGGGGATGATCCTCACAGAGCAGAAGACAAGAGATGGATGAGTGGATGCTGCTTTGCAGGAAGCTTCCCAGCTCCCACTCCTTCAGCCCTACTTCATGAGACTTTTCCAGGTGCTGAGCTCTCTTCATATCCAGTATTCAGCTTTTAGGCAACCATGTATTTGCCCCAAATCTAACCACAACAAAACCCAGTGACACTGCTGAAAAGAAAGCAAGCACAGGACCACACTTAAACTGGGAATCTAAAAGTAGTGACAAACTGCAAGATAGGAATGCACTGAAAATAACCTGAGAGAAGACATGAAGACTGAGTGTGCAGAAGAGTAGGGGTGGGTGATGATGCCTGCAGTAGTCAATTTAATGGAGTTCTTAACATTCTCCAACCCTTGAGGAAAAAGTAGGCAGCACTAAGTCTAGTCTGAACATAACAGGAAAACATTTTGAATGCATTCAGCAAGAAAAAAAGTCAAAATCCACATAATTGACTTTCAGTATAAGTATTCCTATTTGCACAAATTACAGACTTCTCTTAAAATGGTCCTGGTGCCCCTGAGCAACCACTCAATAAAAAGGGTATTCCTGCCCCAAACACAGCTGCCATGTTTCCCAGCTGCTGAACCACACAGGCCATCACTGAGCACTCAGCAGCACCCTCCCAGCCTGGAGTGACCCAACCCTCGTGCTTCCACAGCCATAATGTTTTACAGGGAGCAGGCAGAGTACCAGGAGTTACAAAGATGCTGGCTACCATCAGGCAGCATTTCTTCCATTCCATGTAATTTATTACCCAAGCACTGCGAGCTGTCTCTTCTTGCTGACCTAAATCGTATTTTGGAAGCATCACAGAACATCACTGCCTACTTTTACCCAGCATGGTGTAGGATGAAGGATGAGGATGAGATGGAGAGCTCACCATCACCCAGCACCATCACCAAATCAGCAGGCGCAACGTGACAGGAACAAACACACACCTATCACACATAAAGATCTAGCCAGGAAAAAAGTGAAGCAGCATCCCAGGGTTTTCTTGTGTCTTCTCTGCGAGACAAGGGAGCCATTGGATTTGGAAAGAGACACCCCAGATGAAGGCACAGGGAGCTTGCCCATGTGGACAGAGTTTGCAAGCGAGCACTTGTCGAGAGCAGAGCTGGGCTCCGCCGTGAGTCACCCCGAGCCGCAGGAAGTTGCCCAACACCATTTCAGTGGTGGAGCGGCAACACACGCACACCGGGATGAGGCACCCGCTGCCTCCGTCCACTTCCCCCAGGAAAAGTTACCATCATCAGTGAGATCCTACAGATGAGCTTACACAAAATACACTCGTTTACCAGGAAGGGAGGAACGGCAAATGCTCAAGGAGCCAAAGGGAAAAACCCAGAAGTGTCTGAAAGGTCGTGAGCATTCATGGAGACTGCTGGCAGCCATTTACTTACAGGGACTAGAGGCTGCTCCCCATCAATTTCCATCCATCCCAGCAAGGAAAACTGTGTTTCACACAGCTTGTTTTGCACCACAGTAGTGCAGTAAGGCTATCCCAAAGCAGGGAACAGCATCAAGAGATGCATGGCAGTGGTGGCTGTGGGCACACTATCACTCCTCCCAACGCCCATCCCTTCAGCCACCTCGCTGGCTATAATCCCTCTGTGCAGCTCTTTCTGATAAGGTATCACAAACCTGCACATGGAAAAAGTCTTCTGAGAGCCTGGGGTACTTCCTCTCCTAAATACCAGCTCCTTTTAACCCCAACAATGAGTAGGCAAAGAGAGATGACAGAGCAGGAAGGCGGAATTACAACCCCGGTGAAACCAATATGAAAATTTCTGCTGCTGTTGTGGGAACCAACAGGTCTGCACGAGAACCAACATGGCTTTCTCACCAGTCTAAACCATACCCATGTACAGCATCCTCAGATGCCAAACTATATAATTCACCAGGAGAGTTTGCTTTTACTCAACGCGTCGGGTTTTCAAGTCTACTTCATTGAGCAGAACAGAGCCCGTGGGTAGTAAAAATGGCAAAAATCAGCCTGACATGTCCCTAAGCCTCTGTCTTGTTTCCAAGGCACTCGACCCACCTGCCAGGCAGTACTTCTCATTCAGCAGGACCATTACACACACACCTCTATCTGCTCCATCACTTACTGGACTGGCACGTCCTGACACAGAGAGTTGCTGGCAATGCTGGTGCCTTCCATCCCAAGCTCTCTACAGGACACTGAAAGGCTTCTCAAGCAGAAATTCAGTGGGGGCTGGAGCTGTTGAGGCAGCACACTCCTCGGCTGGTGCCCCTTTTAGACAAAAAATATCTTACTTCTGTGCTGAAAAATCCCTGAGGAGGTCCTTCAGCACAGCTCCAGCAGCAGTACCCAAAGCAGGTCACAACTTTATCCTCTGGTCTAGACACTGCCAACAAAGACATCAACCAAGTTTTATTCCAGCAAGGTCCCTGAGAGTGCTCAGGGCCACACAACTGGACTGGTAAAGGGCCATTGCCCCTAGCTCCCTTCAGGACCTGCAGGGCAGCCAACACAGCATCTCCACCAGAGTCTGCAGGTGTAAACACCATGTACAGCAGCACTGCCCAGCTTACAATTACATCTGGCAACAAACAAGAAATACTAAAAGCACAAAGGAGTCTTATATGTATTTCAGGCAACTCAAACACACAAAGTGAGAACCACCACCTCCTCCCTATTTCTACAAAAGTGAAGTGGCACAGCTGGACACAAGTGAGCCCCAGCAGAAGCTGATCCGCAGCAGCAGTGTGGCTGAGCTCAGAGATAACACACCCTGGCACCCAGCTAAGTTCATCAGCTCAAGCCCTGTGCGGCACTCATTGCTTCTATCAAGCTTTCAGTTTAGACTCATGTCCAACTACCTTCTGCAGAGCTTGGGAAATGTGAGTAGGCACCTGCCAAGGAAAAAAAAACAGCAACCTTCAAACTACTTCAAGTTTCCTGACATAAGATAATGCCAGCTGAATTTTTCTTGCATAGATGTAGCATCACACCAGACTTCAAGGAGGGGAGAAAAGACCCCAATCCAAGAAATACAGCTGAAGAGGAATGATTCACATGTCAATATATTACAACCCACCTATTACTAAATTTGTCTAAATGTAAGCCCACCAATAACAAGATCTGGAGAGTGTCTGTGTGCATACATACACATGGTAAATTATATATAAAGTTATCTTGATTTCATTGATTAGGCACTAAGCTATTCAAATTGCTTTCTCAGCATTTAAGTCCACCACAATTCAGCATGTTTAATTCCACATCTAAAACACAGTATCCATCCACAGGCAGGCACCACAACGGGAACATGAGTTTATCGGGTTCTCATCAAGGTTTATTTTATTTCTTTGTTCCTTTTACTCTTTGTTTAGGCCTTGTCATAATCCAAACCCTTACCAACAAAAGCCAGTTTCCGCTCCCACAGAACCTGAGCATCAAGCACGCCGGTGTGTCCACACAGGAGTAAGGCAGGAAGGCAGTGGGATGCTGCTCCGCTGCCGCCAGCAACTCAGCGCCCAACTTCACCAAAAAAATCCCGAAAAAGATGGAAAACTCCGAAGGACCACGTGCAGATCCCAGCCTGACCTCGAGCACTCCGCCAGCAGTTTCCTGAATTTTACCCCAAAACGCGGGAACCCCGGAGCGCCTCTCGCACACTGCCCCCACCTCTGCAAACCGCATCCCTGAGGGCTTCCCGCCGCTTCGGGGACAACGGGGCGCGGCGGAACGACGCCGGGAGCGTCTTTATTTCACCCAACGCAGCGCCTGAGTCTGACGGGCTGACCCGGAGGCGAGGGGCACCCCGGGGCCGCGCTCCCAGGTCCCGGCGCCGGGCCGGCCGCGTTTTCCATCGCCCCGGCTGGGAGCGCGCAAGCAGCCGGGCTGCCCCGCCGGGGGAGCGGGTGAAGGGGCGGTCACCGCGTACAGCCCGCGGGCGGAAGCTCCGCGGAGCCGCGCCGGGAGGAGGAGCCGCGGGTGCACGGCCCCGCGGGGACCCCCCCCGTTCCCACGCACCGCCACCGAGAGCGGCTGGCGAGGCAGCGCCGCCTCCGCGCCTTGTCCCCACGCGGGGAATGAGGGGACCCCGGTCACACGGCCCCCCCGCCTCCCCCGGCACCGGCGGGACCCGCCGCCACGCTCCCCGCGCTTTCCCCCTTCCCCCACGACACCCTCGCGGAGCGTCGGAAACAAAAAAAACTCACCCCCCAAACCCGCGGCAAAGCCGAGAGCTAAACCCGGGACAGGCGCGGGGGCCGCCCAGGCAGGCGTGGGGGCGCGGGGGCGGCGGCGCGGGCGGCACTCACCGCGGTCATGAAGCCGCGCGGCCGGCGGCGGACACAATATGGCAGCGGGGGGATGTGTCAGGGAGCAGCTGCTCCCTGCGCAGCGGCGGCGGCACCGCCCTCCCGCTCCCCATGGCAACCGCGAGCAAGCACGGCCCCCCCGCCGCCGCCGCCTCCTTCCCGGCCGCCTTCCCTCGCTCCCGCCCTCCCCCGCCGCCGGCACCGCCTCTGGCACCGCCGGGGCCGTGCGGGCTGCGAGCGCCTGCCGGCTCCGCGTCCCGCCTCGGAAAAGTTGCCCTTTCCCCCCAGAAATACCACACTTTCTAAATTAAAAAAAAAAAAAAAATTAAAATAGAAGTGCATAAACCCTCCTTGTAGTTTCACTTCTCTTTCCTCACCTTCTTTGTTTATACATATATATACATTTATTTTTTTTATCCTCTTGACAAAAACGAAGCCATCGCCGCCGTGTTTGCCCTGCCTCGTAGCGCACTGCCGTCCGCTTGTGCTTTCAGCATTCCAGGGCAGGAGCTCTGCTGTTTGCTCACCGGGGCTGGACAGCCAGGCGCGCACTTGCACTTTTACAACATCATAGAGAGGAAGGACCGAGCTGATCTTCCACTGGGAAAAAAAAAAAAAAAAAAAAAAAAAAGAAAAAAAAAAGTTTAATCGCTTTCTCAGGGTTTCCCCTCACCTTCTGGAGGATACGGCTGAAGCTTGCCTCTTGGTGACTTGTGGTAATTTTATTTCTAAGGAACCACGTTAATGCGTTTCAAGGAAATTCCCCCACTCCACCTTAGGAGGAACCAGTGGTTGGGTTGTTTCTTTTTTTTTTTTAATTTGAAACAGTTTCAGACAACAACGGCTCGCATTTTTTAAGAGTAAGGATGTATCAGGCTCAGGGTTATAGCAGGCGGAATATTCTCCCAAAGGCAGAGCATCGAATCCAATGACAGGGAGGCTCCTTCCACTGCCCCATGAAGCATGGCCAGCTTCAGAAACAGAGCCCAACCACCAAGTTCTGATCAGAATAAATTATTCTCAGCAACTTTCATTTAGCTCCTACCTAATTTCCACTGATTGAATGCGTCATGATTCATTCAGCCTTTTGTTTTTCCTTTCACAGCCTCAGAAGTTAGCCAGGGCCTTCCAACCCTCTCGGCAGACAACAGAAGTGCACTTGTATGAATTATGTATTGCTGAAAGCATTCTCCATTCCCAAATCATAAAAAATAGACCTAGCACTGCTGGTACCAGCAACACTTTGCCTGTAAGAGGCTCTTTTGCCTGAATTGCTATCCCTCTGAAAGTGCACATCAGTGTGCCCTGTGTGCCTTCCACACCTCAGCTGCCTTGGCAGAGGGAGGAGCAGGGCCCAGCGCAGCGTTGTTTGCCCGTTGGGATCAGGGTGTGTTGCTCTGACTTTTGCCCTGCTGGGCGGCAGCCTGAAAGAGAGACTTTTGAATCCAGGATCCCTCCAGCTCCAATTTATTATGTGGAAGGTCGAGTTTGGGCCACCAAAGGTGGTGTCTATTCTCAACCTTTGATTGCATTTACACCCTGGCCTTTAAAGTGGGCCTGCTCACAGGTTCTTTCCACTTACCCCTTAAAAATGCAATCTGAGTTCAGTAGGAATGCATGCTCTCTCCCCCTTTAGAGTTTAGCGGGAAAAAAACACCACAAAACCAAACAAGAATTAAAAAGATAAAAGTTGTAAGTGCCCTGAAGTCGACACCCCCTCAAAGAAACAAAAATAAAACTTGGCCTTTGAACTGGCATTTTATTTTAACCAACTTGGAGCACGACACTTCAAATAACATAAAGTGTTTCTACACCTTCTGAGAAACATTTTCACCTTTATCTCCTTCAGTCCTCTCTATTCCTCAACATACCCATGCTAGGTCTTTTTGGCTTTAAGCCATAACTCCGTTTTTCCAAATCTACCAATTTTTCCTCAATAAACACAGTAACCAAGATCTGAGGTTTTCTGGAGCACCTTCTGCATCTCCCCCTCAGCTCCAGGTCCAACCACAGTCACCTTCACTCTTTGGCAGCCTGTGAACTCACTGGTGCCTGCAGCAACGCATCTGGGACAGGGGCAAAAGGAAGTCAAGTCTCTTAGAGAGGCTTAAACTTTCTGCCTCATGTCCTACTCATCCCCATAAGGCTCAGTAGGCAGAGCTAAGCCTCCCAGCCATGCATGTACAGTTGCAGTGCTGCAGCAGCTTGTCTCTGCAGGGTTCGAGGAGCTATAGCTGGCCTGACCTAGTGTGGTGCAGAGAACTTTTGGGTCATCAGGGCTACACTCACACCTCTCCTGATGTTTGTCCCTACCTGTACTGATTCCTGACTGGCAACCTCAGTCAGCATCAGGATGCCTCACTTAGTGCCCAGGCAGCAGCCAGATGATCAAGGGGACTGAGTTTGTCTCTGCTCAGTGTCCACACCACATTTGATCCCTGCTTCCCCACCATGATCCATTTTTCCTGCTGAATTCTGCCTGTCATTAGTGAGAGCAGGAGGGAGCGGGGGATGGAGGGCATGGGACAGAGCCAAGGCCACCAGTGTTGTCCTGCTGTGCATTAGATCACCTCCAAGAAGCTGAAAGCTGCTTGTTCTCACGTTTCAGCCTGAAGGCATTAACTCATTTTTTTTCCTGCAATGTCCCCTGTCCCACCATGGAGGCCTGTGGCTGCTGGCAGTCTGAGCCCACACACCGCCTTGGTCTCCATCTTAGTTTTCTACTCAGAACTACGGAGAGAAACCTACAGCAGAACAGCAACCACGCCAAGCAGAGTTCATCCTATAAATATGACAAGGACGTCGTGCTATTTTCCGACACAGCTCTTTAAAATTGGTGGGACAGCCATCAGTCATGGTACTTCATGTGGGTCTCTGCACAGTTTCCCACGATGTCCTGCAGCATCTCCTGCAGCCCCCCCGAAGCAGGAGGTGTGGGGAAGACGGGCTGCAGGAGCCAAGGCAGGTGCTGAGGAGGTGGCAGGAGGTGCCCTCCACCCTGCCCTTGTCACCTCCTGCTTTGAGCCAAGACAGACGCACAGAGGCTGCTGGTGCCTCCTGGCCCAGCTCCAGGCTGTCCTTGAATGTCCTGCCCACTGAAGGACAGCCGTGCCTGCTTTGCCAAGGCAGCTGTCATCACTGCAGCCCTCCTTCTTGCCTCCTGTGTGGCTTCTACCAGAGGGTGCCTGTCCTCTCCCCTTCAGGGCACAGCCAAGGTTCTTTGGTGATTTGGTGATTTGCCATCACCACAGGTGGTTGAATGCAGGAAAAAACTTAGAAAAAACATGAAGTGTTTTGGTTGTTTGGGTTGTTTTCTGCTGTGGGCAGAAAATGAGGCCTTCCACCTCTCCTGTGTCGTGGTCAATGTCCTCAGCTCTCCACTCTTATTTCAATGCAAGATATGGATGAAGAAGGGCATCCTGGGAGAAGGCTGTCTGAGCCTTCATGGAGGACAGTCATCCAAACCTATCATGTGGAGGACAAGCCCACTGGGAAGACAACACCTGCCTCCTGGCAATTGCAATTTCCTTCTCTTGAGAGGAGAGGGCACAGCAGGGATCCTCCAAGGATGTATTAGCTGACCTGTGCCACCCAGCTCCATGAAAGCACCTCCTTGCCCGAGCTCAGTGCATGTGCAGAGTTCCCAGGCTGCACCCAAGAGTGTGGAGAGCAGGGAAGGGCAAGAAGGGAACTGATGCAAAGCAGAGGGACGGGTGCTGGAGGTGCAGTGCCATGGGTGTGTTCTCTGAGAGCCAGCGAGCCCCAGTCACTGTGCTGGGATTTCTGCCACACGTGTGAGCAGTCAGCCAGGCTTCATGGTGTCTCAGCACTTCTCCTCATGAAACCACAAGCCCTTTGATCCTGGTGGCCTACATCTGGTGTATCACCATGTGAAAAGCTGACATAGGAGTTAACAGATTAATCCATCTGGGAGCAGCATTGTCTCTTCCACAGGAGCAAACCAGGCTGCTGTTCACAGCTCTGGCTAACTTTTCTTTCTGCCCGGGGATGCTGTGAGAGAAATGCTGGCCCAGCACTGGTTGGACACCTGCTTCTTCTAGGAATTTTTGTTGCAAGTGGCATCTCTGATTTACATGGACAGCTCCGTTTGAAGTACTAACTTCAGAGAGACTTCCTACGACTCCAGGTTGGTGTGTCTGCCTATTCAGCTCCCACATCGTAACCTTCTGCTTGCGGTTTCTATCTGGCAATGGCTCCTGCTTTGCTGTCTCCTACCACTAGCCTAGTTTAGCATTTGATCTCTTCCCTGGCCCCAGGCAAAGCCACAAGGGACATTGTGCAGTTTGTGGTTCACAGCATTTCTTCTTCCACCACCCTGCCACCTGCCACACTTGCTCTCTCTCAACTCTATGTCCTGAATGGGAGTCAGTGCTGAAGTTCTTGTTCTTGTTGTAGCTATATATAGACAGGTCCACAGTAACTCATTTTTGGGACTGAATATGCCCTCAGCTTTTTCCCTTTCCCCTAAGCAGCTCCTCCTAGGACTGAGGGTCTGTTAACATCTGCTGAGGCCCACCTTTCTATTAACATCTCACTAGTGTAAATCCAGACCTCAGACAAGCAGGTAAGCTATAAAGGAAGTCATAGGGGTAATGTTACCTGTAAAAACTAATATTTAGATGATTTCTCAACCATACAACCACTGATTGCAAAAATGTGCAGTGTTGGTTGCAGTATTCCTCCCACGTCTCATGTCCAAGAACTGAATTAAATGTATTGAATTACCATCAAAAGATTAGGACTTTTCAATATCAGATC